CCAGAAACTGTCTGACAATACCCAGTTTGTGATGATAATACCTGTTATAGCCACAGAGATGTGGGATACCCAGAAACTGTCTGACAATACCCAGTTTGTGAGGATAATACCTGTTATAGCCACAGAGTTGTGGGATACCCAGAAACTGTCTGACAATACCCAGTTTGTGATAATACCTGTTATAGCCACAGAGTTGTGGGATACCCAGAAACTGTCTGACAATACCCAGTTTGTGATAATACCTGTTATAGCCACAGAGATGTGGGATACCCAGAAACTGTCTGACAATACCCAGTTTGTGAGGATAATACCTGTTATAGCCACAGAGTTGTGGGATACCCAGAAACTGTCTGACAATACCCAGTTTGTGATGATAATACCTGTTATAGCCACAGAGTTGTGGGATACCCAGAAACTGTCTGACAATACCCAGTTTGTGATAATACCTGTTATAGCCACAGAGATGTGGGATACCCAGAAACTGTCTGACAATACCCAGTTTGTGATGATAATACCTGTTATAGCCACAGAGATGTGGGATACCCAGAAACTGTCTGACAATACCCAGTTTGTGATGATAATACCTGTTATAGCCACAGAGTTGTGGGATACCCAGAAACTGTCTGACAATACCCAGTTTGTGATGATAATACCTGTTATAGCCACAGAGATGTGGGATACCCAGAAACTGTCTGACAATACCCAGTTTGTGAGGATAATACCTGTTATAGCCACAGAGTTGTGGGATACCCAGAAACTGTCTGACAATACCCAGTTTGTGATAATACCTGTTATAGCCACAGAGTTGTGGGATACCCAGAAACTGTCTGACAATACCCAGTTTGTGATAATACCTGTTATAGCCACAGAGATGTGGGATACCCAGAAACTGTCTGACAATACCCAGTTTGTGATGATAATACCTGTTATAGCCACAGAGTTGTGGGATACCCAGAAACTGTCTGACAATACCCAGTTTGTGATAATACCTGTTATAGCCACAGAGATGTGGGATACCCAGAAACTGTCTGACAATACCCAGTTTGTGATGATACCTGTTGTTATAGCCACAGAGTTGTGGGATACCCAGAAACTGTCTGACAATACCCAGTTTGTGATAATACCTGTTATAGCCACAGAGTTGTGGGATACCCAGAAACTGTCTGACAATACCCAGTTTGTGATAATACCTGTTATAGCCACAGATGGGATACCTGTTACCCAGTTTATAGCCACAGAGTTGTGGGATACCCAGAAACTGTCTGACAATACCCAGTTTGTGAGGATAATACCTGTTATAGCCACAGAGTTGTGGGATACCCAGAAACTGTCTGACAATACCCAGTTTGTGAGGATAATACCTGTTATAGCCACAGAGTTGTGGGATACCCAGAAACTGTCTGACAATACCCAGTTTGTGAGGATAATACCTGTTATAGCCACAGAGTTGTGGGATACCCAGAAACTGTCTGACAATACCCAGTTTGTGATAATACCTGTTATAGCCACAGAGTTGTGGGATACCCAGAAACTGTCTGACAATACCCAGTTTGTGATGACACCTGTTGTTATAGCCACAGAGTTGTGGGATACCCAGAAACTGTCTGACAATACCCAGTTTGTGATGACACCTGTTGTTATAGCCACAGAGTTGTGGGATACCCAGAAACTGTCTGACAATACCCAGTTTGTGATGATAATACCTGTTATAGCCACAGAGTTGTGGGATACCCAGAAACTGTCTGACAATACCCAGTTTGTGATGATAATACCTGTTATAGCCACAGAGTTGTGGGATACCCAGAAACTGTCTGACAATACCCAGTTTGTGAGGATAATACCTGTTATAGCCACAGAGTTGTGGGATACCCAGAAACTGTCTGACAATACCCAGTTTGTGATGATACCTGTTGTTATAGCCACAGAGTTGTGGGATACCCAGAAACTGTCTGACAATACCCAGTTTGTGATGATAATACCTGTTATAGCCACAGAGTTGTGGGATACCCAGAAACTGTCTGACAATACCCAGTTTGTGATGATAATACCTGTTATAGCCACAGAGTTGTGGGATACCCAGAAACTGTCTGACAATACCCAGTTTGTGATAATACCTGTTATAGCCACAGAGTTGTGATACCCAGAAACTGTCTGACAATACCCTGATAATACCTGTTATAGCCACAGAGTTGTGGGATACCCAGAAACTGTCTGACAATACCCAGTTTGTGACAATACCCAGTTTGTGATAGCCACAGAGTTGTGGGATACCCAGAAACTGTCTGACAATACCCAGTTTGTGATACCTGTTATAGCCACAGAGTTGTGGGATACCCAGAAACTGTCTGACAATACCCAGTTTGTGATGATAATACCTGTTATAGCCACAGAGTTGTGGGATACCCAGAAACTGTCTGACAATACCCAGTTTGTGATGATAATACCTGTTATAGCCACAGAGTTGTGGGATACCCAGAAACTGTCTGACAATACCCAGTTTGTGATGATAATACCTGTTATAGCCACAGAGTTGTGGGATACCCAGAAACTGTCTGACAATACCCAGTTTGTGATGATAATACCTGTTATAGCCACAGAGTTGTGGGATACCCAGAAACTGTCTGACAATACCCAGTTTGTGATGATAATACCTGTTATAGCCACAGAGATGTGGGATACCCAGAAACTGTCTGACAATACCCAGTTTGTGATGATAATACCTGTTATAGCCACAGAGTTGTGGGATACCCAGAAACTGTCTGACAATACCCAGTTTGTGATGATACCTGTTGTTATAGCCACAGAGTTGTGGGATACCCAGAAACTGTCTGACAATACCCAGTTTGTGATAATACCTGTTATAGCCACAGAGTTGTGGGATACCCAGAAACTGTCTGACAATACCCAGTTTGTGAGGATAATACATGTTATAGACAAAGAGTTGTGGGATACCCAGAAACAGTTTGTGATGATAATACCTGTTATAGCCACAGAGTTGTGGGATACCCAGAAACTGTCTGACAATACCCAGTTTGTGATAATACCTGTTATAGCCACAGAGATGTGGGATACCCAGAAACTGTCTGACAATACCCAGTTTGTGATGATAATACCTGTTATAGCCACAGAGATGTGGGATACCCAGAAACTGTCTGACAATACCCAGTTTGTGATGATAATACCTGTTATAGCCACAGAGTTGTGGGATACCCAGAAACTGTCTGACAATACCCAGTTTGTGATGATAATACCTGTTATAGCCACAGAGATGTGGGATACCCAGAAACTGTCTGACAATACCCAGTTTGTGATGATAATACCTGTTATAGCCACAGAGTTGTGGGATACCCAGAAACTGTCTGACAATACCCAGTTTGTGATAATACCTGTTATAGCCACAGAGATGTGGGATACCCAGAAACTGTCTGACAATACCCAGTTTGTGATGATACCTGTTGTTATAGCCACAGAGTTGTGGGATACCCAGAAACTGTCTGACAATACCCAGTTTGTGATAATACCTGTTATAGCCACAGAGATGTGGGATACCCAGAAACTGTCTGACAATACCCAGTTTGTGATAATACCTGTTGTTATAGCCACAGAGATGTGGGATACCCAGAAACTGTCTGACAATACCCAGTTTGTGATAATACCTGTTATAGCCACAGAGATGTGGGATACCCAGAAACTGTCTGACAATACCCAGTTTGTGATGATAATACCTGTTATAGCCACAGAGATGTGGGATACCCAGAAACTGTCTGACAATACCCAGTTTGTGATGATACCTGTTGTTATAGCCACAGAGTTGTGGGATACCCAGAAACTGTCTGACAATACCCAGTTTGTGATGATAATACCTGTTATAGCCACAGAGATGTGGGATACCCAGAAACTGTCTGACAATACCCAGTTTGTGAGGATAATACCTGTTAAAGACACATCAGTATTATGCAGAGTCGTACATTTTTTGTGTTCACACCTACCTACTGGTAAGAAACGACAATAAAACTACGCTTGATGATAGTACACAGTTAGAATGATGTGTTTAAAAACCTCTTAGATTACATGTGTGGTATTATATATTGTACGAAAATGTAGATCACACTTTGTTGTCTTTGATGTATCGTGGTTACAGCCTCGAACAATTACACAATCATGGTGCTGGATCATATCACTGAAGGGATATTCAAAATGTGCTCAAAATTTACACAAATATACTTGTCTTCTTAAAAGTAAGTGGCATATAAATCATCCATATTCACTGCAAGATAATATAAGTGGTAAGCTTATAGCATATATATACGTTTCTGAAAAGCTGGTTAGGTATATACACTGTATGTATATACCCAGGGTAAGTGGTAGCTGGGACTTGTAATGTAATGCGACATTGTGTTATAGATACATAGTGGGCCTGTTCAGAACACAATTGTCACACAAAAAGACAGCTAAAGTGTTAAGCTGATAAATTTGTCGTATGTAGATTTAAATGTACTTTATACATAGGACTGGGTAGATTAAGTTTTATGAATGAATCAAATTAAGCGAAGGCTAGAATTAAAAGAATGTGATGTCAGGTGGAATTTTCAATGAAATAAGTGATGATTCATGGATATACATGTAAATGTATACAGATTTAGATACAGGTTTATCTTGTATGTTCATTTATATAAAATCTGTTAACTCATGCCTACCCACTTGATTGGCCTTGTGACATTAATTAGTCATTATGTAATGGACAGTGAAATTGGATTTTTTTTATATAACATGAGTGTACAGGAAATAGGTTTTCGGAATTATTAAAAAAAATCTGTCGCACACAACATTTACTGCTGCTTGGACTTTTACTGCTTTAACCGGAACATATTAAAAGACATATGCATTGTGTAAGTTACAGTTTTATTCCACTGATATGACATAAATATATTTTCTGCCTTAACCTCAACATCAAATGTCATGTTAAGTTAATATTTTGATATTATGCCTTGTCATTGCAGGTACAAGTGACACAAAAGCCATGATGCCGTACAATCCAGGGTCTGCAACTGCCCCAGGATCAAGCTCACATACTAAACGGCGGAAGAAACGTCCGATCCATGGCACCAAAACAGTTTCTGTGACAAGAGGGAGGTCAGGTTATGGATTTACCATATCTGGTCAACATCCTTGTGTATTAAGCTGTATTGTGGGTGGAAGTAAAGCAGAGGAGGCTGGACTTAAGGCAGGAGACTATCTTGTGTCTGTCAACAACGAAAACGTCACCAAGGCTCCTCATGATGATGTTGTCAGAATGGTTGGAATGTCTACAGGAACTTTGACCTTACAAGTTGCTGAAAACTATAACAGCTCTGATTCGTCTGACGATGAATACCATCACAGGACCAAAGCACGGTACCCAAACCGGGTCAGGACCAGAGCTGGGGTAGGAGGCACTCGTCATGGTGACAGAGTGTTGGGGGAATGTAACCAGAGAGATAAGCACAGTAGTTCTGGTAATGAGCACAGACACAACAAAGACAGTCATCTTCATAGATATGAAAATTCAGATTTAAAATTTACATCTGCTGTTAAACCACGTCTTCATACACCAGTAGGAGCAGAGAATACTTACGCAGCATTAACCAATCACAGCACACCACAGTTAGCTGGACCATTCTCTGTCGATAAACACAGCTCTGTAGCTTCGGTCCATGCAACTCCTGCCTTCAGCTTCCAGGCCAAACAGGCAGTTGTCAAGAGTACTGCACAGAGTGCACGTGAACCAAGACAGAGACCTGTGGGTAGTCGTCATAATTACCACTCCCGCCAAACCAAGGATCAAACACATTTTAACACATCGCTAGCAGGTGCTAGCATTAGTGCAATCATGAAAACCTCTGTCACTAACACTACTGCCAATAATGCTTTCATAGCAATGGAGGATGATGATGAGGATGGTGATGATGAAGAGAGTTTGATAAATGCTGATACAGAGGAGGTACGAGTGGTTGTAGGATACATAGGGTCTATCGAAATGCCAAGTGATGCCAACAAACCTCATATAAAAATTCAGTCCATACGCAATGCTGTGAGGAGACTCCGGGTGGAACAGAAGATACACACCCTAGTTCTGATGGAGGTCACGGAGGATGGCGTCAAACTAACTAACAGCATGGGAACAACTGTTGCTCATTACCCGGCTGAAAGACTGACTTTTAGTGGTATATCTCCTGATGACAAGCGATTCTTTGGCATTGTGACGTTACACAGTACAAGTAGTGATGATGCTAGTAGTGATAACGGTAGTCAGGATGAATCAACTCCAAGTGGATCTTGTCATGTGTTCATGGTTGACCCAGAAATGAGGTCACACAACATACATGCTGCTAAGGCTAAGATGTTCGGGATTACATGTACCAGTGGGAGGGAGAGGCAGAGCTGCAATGAATTCCCTAAGTCTGCTACTCCTGCTATTATGGCTATCACTAATCTATACAAACACCGACCTGGTGTTGTTCTTGACAATGAGGTTGCACTGTCTCAGGCCTTTGCAGACCCTTCAAGGGCCGTTCAGCGTAGTCATAGTAACAGCAGTAATAGTGATAGTGGTCTTGGGTTTGGTAGAGATGAAACACCAAATAACAATGTTTACGTGGTGGATATGCCACCTCCATCAGGACCACCACCCACGCCACAGCCATCTGTACCTAATGGCATTCATTCACACAAACATCACTTTTCACCTGACATCCAAACTAAACCTACACCTATACGTGACACCAATAAGATGTTCACGCACCCAGATATCCGTGCTCGTCTTAATGTGTCTGTATGCAGTACAGATGATTTACATATAATGAAAAATTCAAATGATAAACTGAACATTCGTGCCATGCCTGACCCCACCTTGACCCCAGGGTCCAGAACTCTATCAAGTGATGGCCTTGACATGCAGAACAGTGCAGCTAGTCTAAGGGCTAGCACTCAAAAGATACTTAAGGCTCAAAGACCTCACATGGCCAGTCAAGTGGTCGTTAATGACCAAGATTCTCAGGGAAGTGAAATATACAGGTCAGCGTCTAACCCTGACCTTTACCGACCTTCAGACACATACAGACCAATCTCTGCCCCAAGTAAACAGTTCTGGGAGGATAATTTCACTGGAGAAACGCAGAATAAAGTAGAGACAGTTGATCTGGATGGTAAAAAGTTGAGTCCAAGGGCCTTTCTTCCTCCTCCATTTCATCAGCTGCGGTCTCCTTCAGCCCCGCCAACATTTAACCATTCCTACGACACAGAAGATGGACTAGCCAACACAAGTGGCATGGGGGGTCTCATTGAGCAGATTGAGCAGAACCATGCTCTCCGAATATCCTCCCCAGTAGAGGACCCCAGGAAGTATGATATCAAGACAAAATGGAAAATGGTAAGTCACATTTGTGTGAATATACTGTGAAATCCTGTTATAACGCGCTGTTTTGTTAGGATCGGCCTTGAAATGAGGTGAATTAAACAATGAGCAGTGTGGCGAGGGTTTACTATCGTTACAATGAAACATCTTACACCAGTTTGATCAGAGAACATGGTGACTCAAAATTTTGATATTTTGTTTTTGTTTTTCATCAAAACATTACAATTTCATTGGCACTTGTTTTCATGTCGCATCAACAAAATCTGCTACCAAAATGTTTATGACAATATTTATCATTTTGTGTGGACAAATGTAGGGGAAAATGCTCAAAATATAGCCCATCTTCCTTCCTATAAAAAAAGGTTATTTTACATTGTATGATGTTGACATGTCAATTCCTTGCTAGGGAACATCTATTTGATGTTATAAAGAAGTCCTTGTATGTTATATCTCTGTAATTATATCCTATTTTTAGACTGGTGTCATATTTATAAATTATACTTACTGGGTCTCGGACAACATTGATGGAAACAAAAGATGACAATTAAACAGGGTTTCTTTTGTTATTTCCTGTAGATTTTGTAACGGCAGTAAATATATACTATGATCATATCAAAATAACTGACAACGTCTCAGTTTAAGAAATATACACATGATATAATTAGGAAAGTAAAACATAGCTATATGACATAAAGAGGAATGTTCTGTTCTGCATGTATGAGTACAAGTTACCTTACACTGGTCATGGTTAGAGGGAATTTCTTTTTAGACAAGTGGTAAGCTGTTCAGCTAAAGGTGGATGGACTTAACAAGGCAGGACATGTTTTCCATTATTCCTTTCTATTTCATATATTTTTCAATATCTCAAAGGATAACAAACCTCTTTCCAAAAAAGTAACATGAACATTATGTACACATACACTGACGATGGTTACAAATCTATGACGATGTTCTTAAAGTTTTGAAGTTTAACAAAAACAAGTAACATCAAGGTAGGCTGAAAGTACATCTTTGTGGTTCTGTCATGTAAAACTGATGAAGATAAAAGGAACAACAGGAAACAATGACAGAAACAATAAGATGACCCAAATATTGTGACGAGGTTTATATGTTTACAATTGTTTACAGCTCTGATATGTAGACAATTTCATCCTACAACAATGGGAACAGAGCTGTTTGTCAGTAAACAAAGACAACAAAGGAGATGGTAGTAAACACATTGTTATTTTAGAGCCGTGTCTTACACTGACAGTGATGATGGTTTTGTGTATTCTTATATATACACTGGAAGTTTGAAACACTAGTCCTTGTAAACTGGAAGTTACCAAACAGATGTCAATCTTTTAAGCTTTATTTGTACTTGCACATCTTATTTAGTTCACTTACTGTAAACCCTGCAGGGTGATGCAGACTTTACATACATTACATTCTATAATGTGAAAGCATGAAGATTATTAGTAATGCTAACAAATGAATGTATTAAGTGAGCATGCTGAATCATGTATGACTATAAATTGTTTAAATGGTAAGACAGAGGACACATTACGGGACTTCTTCAAGCCAACAGGAAACTTCAATTAAATAGATAGGTAGATTTTTTGATTGTCAGTAATTTACAATTGACCAATTAAGTGGTAGCCCATTGACACACAAATTAGAATACTTTATAACTGATAACCACTGTAAAGGAAGGACACCTGTTCTTGTGAATGATGTGTGTGACTAGGGAAAAGGGAAGTAACTCCACATAGTGATTGGAAATCGATTATCAGTAAAAATCAGACAGGCTTTTTTTGTTTGTAGTTTATCAGTTACATAATTGGCTGGCTGTGTTCAATAGAAAGTTTGTCTTAATTCTCTGGCAGTAATATTTTCCTATTTTTAATGACTTCTTGTAAAACCTCACTTACCAAGAATGAGGATAAAAATGAATGTTATTGGCAATCGACATCATTATTATGCTTAATATAAATTTAGATTGACTATGAAAAATTGCAATCGATCATTGTATCAGATTAGGTTAAGTGATTAGAAAATCTGTGATATTTGACCACCAGGAAAGAAACCAAAATTTTTTTCACAGATTTGAAACACATACCGGTATCCTTAAATGGTTTTTTTTTATGTTGAAGGATTTTCTGCTTTAAGAAAATGATTCTTACAATTATTAAAAAGACAAAAAGATGACATTACTGTAAAAGAAATAAAAATAAGTGTATTCTTATTACTATGATAAAAGGAACCCATTTCCACTGGTTTTTAGGTCATCTGTCCCAAAGGGTCGCCGTGAGTAAACTTTACATTTAAATGACTTTTACTCAATAACCTAAAGGCATGCTGGGATGAAGAGCAACACAGTTTGTGAAAAGGAATGAGCTTGACTCACTTTCAATGTAAATGTGACAGAGGTCAAATATGTTGAAATCTTTAAACAATTCTTCTCAATAAACTAAAGGTACAGAGTGCTGATATTAGACCTGTAGTATGCTAGGATGAAGGGCAGCCAAGTTGATAAAATGAATTACCCTGACTTACATTCAATGTCACAACGGTCAAATATGTTCAAATCTTTAAACAACTTCCTCTCAATAACCAAATGGTTATATGATATCGGGCCTGTATGATGTTCGGTTTGGGGGGATACTGATTTTGTTAATATGAATGACCCATTTTCAAGGTGACTATGGACAAAAGTGTAAAAATCTTTAAATAAGGCCAAAAGGCCCAGAGTGCTGATAATCTATATATATTTGTATCTACAGGATTATTTGTCTTAAATGTACCTTGAAGAAGGGAAAATCTGAAGACGTAATGTATGGAATTTGAGCACTGCATCAGCCACCTTATTGACAGAGTTACTTCCCTTCGTTTATTTTTGCTGAAGTGTCTTTTATTTCTATTTTTTATTTTTTTTTTATTTATGAACCCACCATCTGATATTCAGATGGCTCTGAGTCTGTGGTCCGTCATCTGTCCGTCCGTGAAAATTTTTTTGTTATAGCTATTTCTTGAGAAGCACCGTATTGATCTTTCTCAAATTTCATATGTAGGTTCCCCAAGGTCTTAAGTTGTGCCCATGTAATTTTGGGACTGATCAGAAAGGCAGAATGGCTGACAGGTGGCAATCTTGTATTTTAACTTTGAAAGTTTGTTATCACTATTTATTGAGAACTACTCTATAGATCTTTTTTTTAATTCCATGTATAGGTTCCTTTAGGTCCCTTGTTGTGTCTGTTTGAGTTTGGAACTGACCAGAAGAAACAAAATTGCCAATAGGCAACCATCTAAATTTTGCCATGTAAAGATTGTTATTTCTATGTCTTAAGAAGTTTTGAATGGATATCTCTCAAATTTTATATGTAATATTCCCTTTGGTCTGTCCTTGTGCTCGTTTTATTTTGGGACTAATCAGAAGAAATAGAATGACTTGCAGGCAGTCATTTTGGATTTGGCATTAAACATTTTATCATCATTATTTTTTCAAAAGAAATGCTCAAATGTCTTATCATTAAGAGGAAAAACAGAAGAGAAAAGAAGGGAAAAGATCCAACTTTCAAAGAGGATATAAAGATCAAACGGTGGTGAGTGCCAAGATCCTTCTGGGATTTCTTGATATTAAAACCCTTCCCCACCCCTGCCCAACTGAGAAGGATATATATGTACACCAAATAATAATGAATATAAGAGGAAATATTGTAAAAGCCATTTTTGTTTGTTTTTTGTTTTAATATCAAATTTTCTTGATGAGCATTGCTTAAAATTTTCAGCAGCTAAAAATTGCAATTAACAGAGATTTCAATTTTGTAACCACCCCTATACAATTTGCATCTAGTATTTGGGATTCTCTGATGAGAATAATTTGGAGATCTTAAGTGTTGCTGTTAGTTGAAGTTTTTGGGTTAATGATTTTCACATCTCTACGAGGTCTTTGATTACATACAAAACAGTAGAGTTCAATTGTTTATACAATTTTTTTCTTTTTTAACAATTACTTTCTTGGATTTCCTATCCCAATGTCAGGAAGTTGGCCAATCAGAGTCCGGATATACATTACTACTTAGAGGACACATTGTCATCTCACTACAGGACAGACCCCTACACAGGATGTTGTCAAACCTTACCACAATGATGTACAATAATCATAGCTCAGATATGTGACATATCACCAGTAGAAGCAACACACATTACATGGAGATAAGAGGATTCATACTGTTTGTGTCACAGTTTTTCAGGGAAATCTGTGGAAACATACCAAACTAATGATAGTATCAGAAGAAACGCTGCTGTTTGGAAATAAGTTTGGATTGAATATCATATTGGAGTGAATATTACAAATCTGTGCTTATGTCCTCACCACTGCTACCGAGGTTTCAGAGTCTGCGACGTTCAGTTCGACGGACAAAAAGCACAAGATCACAAGAAAGGGTATTTATATTAATCAATGCTGGAAATTAAACTTTCGTTTTGTAAAACCTATTTGTAAACCATTTAGGAATATGATAATAAGATACATGTTTTATAGGGTATACAAAAGAAAGATACATGTTTGATAGGGTAGACCAAAAATGAACAGATGTTTAATTGGGTAGACAAAAGGAAGACAGATGTTTGATAGAGTAGACAAAAGAAGACAGATGTTTAATTGGGTAGACAAGAGAACATATGTTTAATTATGTAGACAAAAGAAAGACAGATGTTTTATAGGATAAACAAAGGAAAGACATGTTTTATAGGGTAGAAATAAAAAAAGACAGATGTTTTATAGGGTAAACAAAGGAAAGACATGTTTTATAGGGTAGACAAAAGAAAGACAGATGTTTAATAGGGTAGACAAAATAAAGACATGTTTTATAGTGTATGTAAAAGACAGACAGATGTTTTAGAGGGTTTACAAAAGAAAGACATGTTTTATAGGGTAGACAAAAGAAAGACAGATGTTTTATAGGGTAAACAAAGGAAAGACATGTTTTATAGGGTATACAAAAGAAAGACAGATGTTTAATAGGATAGACAAA